GTGACTTTAGATCAATGAGGAAGGGTGCAGAATCGCCAGGATTTGACTTCTTTCCCTTGTTGCTTCTTGCTTACTTGAGAACTTCTTGGAGCATATTGTGCAGGAACTCTAGGTTCTGTTAGCTATTCTAATTGTTCCCTTACCTCATTTGTGCTTTGTTTGCAGATTACACGTTTCCAGTGTATAGCTCATGCTGGTGTGGATTTTTCCACCTCAAATAGCAAGCCCTGTGAGCCAAATATTTCCTACACCTTTTTAAGACCCCAGTATTGCTATGTCAAAGACATTGTTGGGAATATCAGTTATGCAGGGAATAGCCACACAAGGAAATCTTTTCTATATATTTCAGAACTTATAACATTCTTAACTTTATGGCTGGTGGAAGCTAGTGTAGTGCTATAACTAAAAGTATACTCCAAAGGTTTTACCTGATAGTCACAAAGATGTTAGCCCCACAAGAGAAGTTGATAGTAAATGGCTATTATGTGGACTTAGACAACACAGGATAATTTTGACTGTTGATTGGCAACATTCCATCACTCCACAGTCATGGAGTTCTAGTCAGTCAACCAGAATTAGGCTTTTCAACATAGAGGTGGCTTCTTCAGAGAACTTCAGTTCATAACAGGCAGGAGGCAAGGGACAAATGCTGACCCTTTTTATCCCACAGAGATATTCATTGACCCAAAAGTACAGGACCTGCCTGAATATGGGAGCATTTTCATTTTCTGGGGTATAAATATACGAAATGAACTCTTCCAATATTGGTATCAGTTCTGTCTAGGAAAGAGCCTATTTAATTTCGAGAGAAAGTCTGCCAGTAGACACACTTGTGTACAGAACAGAAACCTGATTGCCATACTTAGACTCTGTCTTTGCCTGCCTTGGTCAGTAGGTGGCTCTCATTCTCTTTAAATGTTCCAATAGCTCCCAGGGTAAAAATGGATCTTGCTTTCTGTTTCCCTTTTGTCACAGCTACTGTTACATCATCCTAGCAGTATTACTTCCTCATTTCTAAAAATACTTTCCAGGTGGGTTAAAAAGCCCCTCATATGGGAGTTTCTGACAAACCTAAAATATTCATTTTCTGCTTTCACTTGGTGGTTAAGAAAATTGACAGTGAGAAACCAAAATGGAAAAAGCTGCAGCTGTATGAATGAGCAGAGCAAGTTAGTGAGGAATGAGGAAGGCACTAGGACTTGTGCACTGGGGAGGGAGGACACTGTTGTGGTGTGAGAGTGGAAGAATGGGGTCCTGGAAAGCAGAGAGAATGGAGGAGTGTGGCACAATTGGAATCTGTGAGTTAAATACTTGCCTATAGTCACACATACGTACACATTTGTGTATACATTGTATAATATATTTTTTATTCCATATCTCATACTATGTTTTATAACATGTGAGTCTTCTTCAAGACAACTCTCATTTCTCTTTTAGACTGCTTGCATTTTACTATCAATTAGAGTAAAATCTGACATCGAAATCTCACAATCTCATATAGGTCCTTATGAATAAATAAGAAAATAGTCACTGTCAGTATCCCCACTTAGTGGGAGATACACTGCCTGTGTTCTTAAATGTTTAATTTGTTTGATACTAATAACTATGGGAATATTTCTACTCTCTTTACATTTATATTAAAACTGAGTGTCAGAGAAGTTAAATGATTTACCCAGGATCAAATGTATATGCTTGTTGAATTTAGAGTTAATGTATATTGTATGTTATAAGCAACAACTTAAGTCTCATATTTTGAAATTCTGACATATTTTAATCTAATATTACATGTTCCTTTGCTTTCTGTCTTTTATTGATGGATGCATATTCATGGATGATATGAACTTTCTTCTTTAAAGTGGTTTCACCCAATTTTCCTTTTTTCTTGATATTGGTGATGAGATAATTTTTATTGTAGTTTTACTTCTTCATCCTACAAAAGAAGTTCCTAGAAAATTATATTAACTGAAAGTTGATTACTTGTCAATCCTTAAGAGTTAGGATTTTTATGAAATCATAGAAATCATTTGATCTATACACAGATCAAACCTTAATTTAATTTGGTTAAAAGAAACAATGGAGACAAGTTATTGACACATCTATCTCTAATAGTAAATGTGGTATGTTTGTTTAAATAAAAGTAAGAACAGTGAGCAGCAAGAGTGGCTCAAGCCTGTCATCCCAGTACCTGGGATGTGGAGATCAGGATTCTGGACTAGCCCAGACAAAAAGCTTGTAATACATCCATCTCAACCAATTTCTGGGCATGGTAGTAAATGCCTGTCATTCCAGATATGCAGATTAGCACAAATGAGAAGACTGTGGTTGAAGTGAGCCGAGGTATAAAATGAGCCCTTATCTCATAATTAACCAAAGCAAAAAGGGCTGGAGGCATAGCTTGAGTATTAAAGGTCTTTCCTGGCAAGATTCAGACCCTGAGTTCAAACTATACAGACTATCAAATAAATTATTCTATTCATTTTGAAATTTGAGTTTTATTTTCTTTAAGAAACTTCAGGTGTTTTACCCAGTGGATTTAAATAGTTCAGTGACAAAATCTTTATGTTAAAGTAAAACCTAGGTGATCTAAACACAAAATTTCATGTCTCATCATGAAGTCTTTTTGGTCCTGTTTATTTTCCAGGTCAACTTGTGGATTTGTCTCCTTGAAGAAGGAAAGTTAGTCCTGTTTGACAAACCCCTTAGGCAAAAAGATCTTCATATTTTACAAATTCACAGAGTTCATAGCCATTCCTCAAGTATAATCTTTAACATGTAATATTTTCACATTTCTCTTGTTAAAGATGACTTTGAAATATGACTGTGTGCTGTGCTGCACCAGGGCCTGGTGAACAGAATTGTAACAGGTGTTACAAGATGGAAATCTTTCGAAAAATTTTACTAATGACAATTCAGGTCGTTGCTAAAAATGCTGGCTACCTTATACTTTTTTGTGCACATGGATCTGTGAATTCTAAAATCCACAGTATTTTCTTTTTTCCCCTATGTCCCTACCCACTCCAGTTAGACAGGACTGTTTCATCTGATCCTCTGGCTCAAGGTGCTCATAGGCACAACGTTCCAATTTATTGCTCACTAACTCACTCTTCAAGTTGGCACGAGTCAGCTCACCACAAATTAAACTTTTAGCATACCTTATTGTAAGGTGATTGCTTTTATTTTTTACAAAAAATCATATGCCAAAGATTGGTCTGCTGTGACCCCTTTTCTTTTGATTGGGTAATAATGTGTCAAATATTGTCATAACATACAGATGATAGCAGCAAAAATTATGTTTAATATCTGTGCATTTAGGCAGCAGGATGGGTAAATTATTTTCCATTTTTATCTCAATTACCAATAGATAGTTCATTTTTCCAAATCAACATTTCTGTGTTCAACTATTGTACAGTAATTGTGCTATAAGATTCTGAATGGCCAACCAGCTAATCAATGATAATTTTCTTCCCATCAGATTCTTATAGTGAAAGAGATATTATCCTTTCCTAGATTATTCACTCAATGTGTGTCCTTTTTTTCCCTCTTTGGTGGTACTGGGGTTTGAATGTAGGTCCTTGTGCATGATAAACAAGTGCTCTACCACTTGAGTCATTCCCATAGCTCTTTATGCTTTGGTTAATTTTTGAATAAGATCTCATTTTGATGCCTGGGCTGGTCTGGACTTTAATCCTCCCATTTATACACCCACATACTTGGGATGACAGTTTAGTAACTTTTTTCCTGAGAAGTCCTCCAACTGCGATCCTCCTATTCTCAGCCTCCTAAATAGTGGGGATTACAGACATGAGCCACTGAGCCTGGCCCTATCCCCTCATTATTTTTTAATGTATCACTATCCTTTTAAGGTTACTTTTCTTATAAAAATCAAAGACACAAAAGGTAGGACCTGTACTTGTTATGTTCACCCTCTCTATCCCACAGACAATGTACATCTTGGCTTAGAAGAAGTCTACTTTTGTTGGTAATTTAAATATAGTACAATGGGCAAATTGGAGTACAATTTATTTTTTGCAATATCAGGATAAGTCTCTTCTTAAAGAATTATCATGTAGTTAAAAACTAGTATGAATCCTCAACTGCAAAAAAAACTAACATAACAAAAAAAATGAAGAATAGACTTAAGCAGACATTTCTCAAGAGAAGAAACAAAAATGGCCACAGGTGCAAGAAAATGCTCAAGATTACTAGTCATCATAGAAATGAAGGGCAAAGCAACAATAACATATCATTCACCAAAGTAAGAAGGGAAGTAAGAAGGGCAACAGCCAAAAAGAATAGAGACAAGTATTACCAAGAAGAATGGGATAGAAATTACTAAGTAATAAAAATATATGGAGTTCTTCAAAACATTAATACTAAAACAACTAATATGATCCAGCAATCCTTATACTTGATATATACTCAAAGAAAAATGAAATCACTATGTCAAAGGGATGTATGCACTCCCATGTTTGTGCAGCACCATTCACAGTAGTCAAAGAGATTGAAAATAACTAAATGTCCATCACGGCTAATAGATAAAGAAAATGTGGTACATGTATACTATGCAATACTTTTCAGCCATACTGTGTATGAATATAAAAATAAATTGTAGAAACTTTAAAAATGATGTAAAGAATTAATGATCCCATGTTCTCTATAGTAAATATTTGATGAATAAAGCAAAATACAGTAAATATAAATAAAATGTTTTATTATATAAAATGAAATGTAAAGGTACACATGATAGATTGATAAAAGCATATAAATCTTATAAATAAATAAATATTCAGATAGATAAATAAACATTTCAGTATGAACATTAGGAACTATAAAGCCTATAGAGTTGAACAAAATGTTGCTTAATATCCCTGAAACCATTTCACAGATAGGTTGAGTTCATGTCACAGTTACAGCAGAAATGAGAGTCTTTGTAATCACAGAACTTGTGAAAGTAATCAGCAGATTAGTCGCTGACAGTCTTTTCCACGATGGACCAGGTCTCATTCCTTATGCCTTAATTGTTCTTGCAAGATTACTGAGAAAGAGAGGAATCCCATCATTTCTGTTCTGACCACCTCCCAGGCACAAGGGCTGTATTTCTTCTCCTTCAGGTAGAGAGAGATCCTGTTGAAGTAGTTCCTCACAGCCAGTTTGGAGTCCTCATGGGTCAGGGAAGGTTCTTCCACCCTCACCTGCTGTGTCAGACAGGCTTTCAGGTTTTTCAGCTGCTGAGAGAGGCTGGCACAGAATTTGTATCGAAGAGTCTTCTCCCAAGCAGTTGAGGAGTCCTCTGTGCAGAAGAGACTGAGGATATTCTGGGTCATTTCATAGATGAAAGACATGACTTGTTCCTTCTGGAACTGGTTGCCCTCAACCACATCCTTCGGGAATCCAAAGTCACTTGTGTCCTTCCAGCAGAAGGTAGTAGAGATTCTTCTCATGGCTCTCAGGTGTGTCATGGTCCTCTTGTTACCCAAACTATAGTTCTGAGGCAGGTCACAGTCCAGGGAGCACGCTGACCTGCAGCTGAGCACCACCAGGACCACCAGGAAAGCAGTGGGCAAGGCCATTGGAGATGCTGCAGATGCTGCTGCCTGGCTGAGGGGAGTGATCCAGAACCTTTGCTACTAGGTTCTCTGAAAAACTTGATGCGTTCATTTGACTTAAATAGTGAATGTTCCACATTCCATTTTCTGATTGCCCTCCCCTTACTTCCTGTTTCTCCTTTTGCTTTCCTTTAGTCATTTTCTACTTGCATTTTGCACAGTGTTTCTCAGCCATTTTGGTTTTTATCATTTCTTCTCCTTCCTCTTCTCCCCTCCTCCAATTACATGTATACATTTATTCCTAAGTGCAAGTTTCATTAATTTAATATGACATACATGCTACACATCTGTGTATCAAATCTATAGCTCTACTTTTTTACCTCAAATGTGTGAATTTTAGTCTTCTTATCCAAAGCAGGGATAAGAATGATAGAAACTTAAGATAACAAGTATCTTTAAAATCTTTTCAATTTTAACTTAATTTTATAAGTAATTTTTGAAAGTGAATTTGATTCAGTTCATAAATATAAATTTTATTTAATGAATAATGTATCCTCCATTATTCTTTAATGTATCACCATCATTTAAGGTTACTTTTCTTACAAAAATCAAAGACACAAAATGCAGGATCTGTACTTGTTATGTTCATCCTCTATATCCCAAGGACAACATACATCCTGGCTTGGAGGAAGTCTACTTTTATTTGTAACTTAGATATAATAAAAATGAGCAAATTAGAAATACCATTTATCTTTGAAATATCAGGATAACTCTCTTTTAAAGGAATTGTCATTCAGTTGATAACGAGAACATTTAAAGAATACTAGTTCCTCAACTGCAAAACCCAAAAAAACCTATTAAAATGGACAATATATGCCAGCAGATATTTCCCAAAAGGAGAAACATATATGGCCACAGGTGTACAAAGATGCTCAAGATTACTACTCATAAAAATGTAGACTGAAGCAACAACATCATATCACTTCACCACAGTAAGAAGGGCAAAGTACCAAAAAAGACTAAAGATAAGTTTTCTCAAGGAGAATGGGGTAGAAATTACTAAGTAAGAAAAAATAATATAGAGGTACCTCAAGCATTAAAAGTAGAATTACTATATGATCCAGCAGTTCCAATACTTGGTATGTGTCCAAAGAAAAATGAAATCACTCTGCCCAAGGGATGTATGTACTCCCATGTTTGTGCAGCATCATTCACAGTAGGCAAAGAGATGGAAAGTAGTTAAGTGCCCATCAATTGGTGAATAGGTAAAGAAAACATGATACATATACAGCATGCAATACTTTTCAGCTCTACTGTGTATGAATATAAAAATAAACTTAGAAACCTTAAAAATGATATAAAGAATTAATGATCCCATGTTCTCTACAGTAAATATTTGATGAATGAAGCAAAATACAGAAAATATAAATAAAATGTTTTATTGTATAAAATGAAATGTAATGGTACACATGATAGATTGATAAAAGCATATAAATCTTATAAATAAATAAATATTCAGATAGATAAATAAACATTTCAGTATGAACATTAGGAACTAATGCCTATAGAGTTGAACAAAATGTTGCTTAATATCCCTGAAACCATTGCACAGATAGGTTGAGTTCATGTCACAGTTACAGCAGAAATGAGAGTCTTTGTAATCACAGAACTTGTGAAAGTAATCAGCAGATTAGTCGCTGACAGTCTTTTCCACGATGGACCAGGTCTCATTCCTTATGCCTTAATTGTTCTTGCAAGATTACTGAGAAAGAGAGGAATCCCATCATTTCTGTTCTGACCACCTCCCAGGCACAAGGGCTGTATTTCTTCTCCTTCAGGTAGAGAGAGATCCTGTTGAAGTAGTCCCTCACAGCCAGTTTGGAGTCCTCATGGGTCAGGGAAGGTTCTTCCACCCTCACCTGCTGTGTCAGACAGGCTTTCAGGTTTTTCAGCTGCTGAGAGAGGCTGGCACAGAATTTGTATCGAAGAGTCTTCTCCCAAGCAGTTGAGGAGTCCTCTGTGCAGAAGAGACTGAGGATATTCTGGGTCATTTCATAGATGAAAGACATGACTTGTTCCTTCTGGAACTGGTTGCCCTCAACCACATCCTTCGGGAATCCAAAGTCACTTGTGTCCTTCCAGCAGAAGGTAGTAGAGATTCTTCTCATGGCTCTCAGGTGTGTCATGGTCCTCTTGTTACCCAAACTATAGTTCTGAGGCAGGTCACAGTCCAGGGAGCACGCTGACCTGCAGCTGAGCACCACCAGGACCACCAGGAAAGCAGTGGGCAAGGCCATTGGAGATGCTGCAGATGCTGCTGCCTGGCTGAGGGGAGTGATCCAGAACCTTTGCTACTAGGTTCTCTGAAAAACTTGATGCGTTCATTTGACTTAAATAGTGAATGTTCCACATTCCATTTTCTGATTGCCCTCCCCTTACTTCCTGTTTCTCCTTTTGCTTTCCTTTAGTCATTTTCTACTTGCATTTTGCACAGTGTTTCTCAGCCATTTTGGTTTTTATCATTTCTTCTCCTTCCTCTTCTCCCCTCCTCCAAATTACATGTATACATTTATTCCTAAGTGCAAGTTTCATTAATTTAATATGACATACATGCTACACATCTGTGTATCAAATCTATAGCTCTACTTTTTATACCTCAAATGTGTGAATTTTAGTCTTCTTATCCAAAGCAGGGATAAGAATGATAGAAACTTAAGATAACAAGTATCTTTAAAATCTTTTCAATTTTAACTTAATTTTATAAGTAATTTTTGAAAGTGAATTTTGATTCAGTTCATAAATATAAATTTTATTTAATGAATAATGTATCCTCCATTATTCTTTAATGTATCACCATCATTTAAGGTTACTTTTCTTACAAAAATCAAAGACACAAAATGCAGGATCTGTACTTGTTATGTTCATCCTCTATATCCCAAGGACAACATACATCCTGGCTTGGAGGAAGTCTACTTTTATTTGTAACTTAGATATAATAAAAATGAGCAAATTAGAAATACCATTTATCTTTGAAATATCAGGATAACTCTCTTTTAAAGGAATTGTCATTCAGTTGATAACGAGAACATTTAAAGAATACTAGTTCCTCAACTGCAAAACCCAAAAAAACCTATTAAAATGGACAATATATGCCAGCAGATATTTCCCAAAAGGAGAAACATATATGGCCACAGGTGTACAAAGATGCTCAAGATTACTACTCATAAAAATGTAGACTGAAGCAACAACAACATATCACTTCACCACAGTAAGAAGGGCAAAGTACCAAAAAAGACTAAAGATAAGTTTTCTCAAGGAGAATGGGGTAGAAATTACTAAGTAAGAAAAAATAATATAGAGGTACCTCAAGCATTAAAAGTAGAATTACTATATGATCCAGCAGTTCCAATACTTGGTATGTGTCCAAAGAAAAATGAAATCACTCTGCCCAAGGGATGTATGTACTCCCATGTTTGTGCAGCATCATTCACAGTAGGCAAAGAGATGGAAAGTAGTTAAGTGCCCATCAATTGGTGAATAGGTAAAGAAAACATGATACATATACAGCATGCAATACTTTTCAGCTCTACTGTGTATGAATATAAAAATAAACTTAGAAACCTTAAAAATGATATAAAGAATTAATGATCCCATGTTCTCTACAGTAAATATTTGATGAATGAAGCAAAATAAGAAATATAAATAAAATGTTTTATTGTATAAAATGAAATGTAATGGTACACATGATAGATTGATAAAAGCATATAAATCTTATAAATAAATAAATATTCAGATAGATAAATAAACATTTCAGTATGAACATTAGGAACTAATGCCTATAGAGTTGAACAAAATGTTGCTTAATATCCCTGAAACCATTGCACAGATAGGTTGAGTTCATGTCACAGTTACAGCAGAAATGAGAGTCTTTGTAATCACAGAACTTGTGAAAGTAATCAGCAGATTAGTCGCTGACAGTCTTTTCCACGATGGACCAGGTCTCATTCCTTATGCCTTAATTGTTCTTGCAAGATTACTGAGAAAGAGAGGAATCCCATCATTTCTGTTCTGACCACCTCCCAGGCACAAGGGCTGTATTTCTTCTCCTTCAGGTAGAGAGAGATCCTGTTGAAGTAGTTCCTCACAGCCAGTTTGGAGTCCTCATGGGTCAGGGAAGGTTCTTCCACCCTCACCTGCTGTGTCAGACAGGCTTTCAGGTTTTTCAGCTGCTGAGAGAGGCTGGCACAGAATTTGTATCGAAGAGTCTTCTCCCAAGCAGTTGAGGAGTCCTCTGTGCAGAAGAGACTGAGGATATTCTGGGTCATTTCATAGATGAAAGACATGACTTGTTCCTTCTGGAACTGGTTGCCCTCAACCACATCCTTCGGGAATCCAAAGTCACTTGTGTCCTTCCAGCAGAAGGTAGTAGAGATTCTTCTCATGGCTCTCAGGGTGTGTCATGGTCCTCTTGTTACCCAAACTATAGTTCTGAGGCAGGTCACAGTCCAGGGAGCACGCTGACCTGCAGCTGAGCACCACCAGGACCACCAGGAAAGCAGTGGGCAAGGCCATTGGAGATGCTGCAGATGCTGCTGCCTGGCTGAGGGGAGTGATCCAGAACCTTTGCTACTAGGTTCTCTGAAAAACTTGATGCGTTCATTTGACTTAAATAGTGAATGTTCCACATTCCATTTTCTGATTGCCCTCCCCTTACTTCCTGTTTCTCCTTTTGCTTTCCTTTAGTCATTTTCTACTTGCATTTTGCACAGTGTTTCTCAGCCATTTTGGTTTTTATCATTTCTTCTCCTTCCTCTTCTCCCCTCCTCCAAATTACATGTATACATTTATTCCTAAGTGCAAGTTTCATTAATTTAATATGACATACATGCTACACATCTGTGTATCAAATCTATAGCTCTACTTTTTATACCTCAAATGTGTGAATTTTAGTCTTCTTATCCAAAGCAGGGATAAGAATGATAGAAACTTAAGATAACAAGTATCTTTAAAATCTTTTCAATTTT